GAAAAGGCACGTAAATCGAAGGGCTCTAATTAAAATTGGATCAGGGGCTTAATGGAAGAAATTAAAATTTTATTGATCAACTAAGGGTCAAATTGTATAAATTCAAGACCAAGGACCAAAATGAAAAAGACGGCCAAATTCAGGGTCACTGTTGGATTTTTGGTAGGGATGCAATTGCTTTGATTTTTAAATTAAAATTTCAATTTAGGACTTGATTGAACAAATCACAAATTGAGGACTAATGTGAACTCTGACATATTTTTGCAGCTTTTTTTTTTAAATAAAATGGCGTGTTTTGTCCAAAACAGCTTTGTTTCATGCATTGTTCATGAAAAAAAAAGAGGAAAAACCCAAAATAGTGCCATTTTGACAGCACCGTGAGTCTTCTTCTTCCCTTGGACACGCGAAACAAGGGAAGAAGAAGATTTTTTTCTTTCTCTGTTACCTCCATCTTTCCCTTCAAAAAGACACCTACTCCCCTTTAAATAGATGCTAACACAACCCACACTTTCCACGTGTTGGAGGGTGGCAACACAATGGCCACCCAGGCACATCTCTCCCTTGTTTTTGCTTGTAAAAACAGGGGAAGGGAAGAGAAAAAAAGAAGGAAAAAAGGAGAGACCGAGAAAAAAAAGAGAGGAGGGGAGAACAAGAGAGTGCAGAGAAGGTCTGGAGACCAAAAGAAAAGAAAAAAAAAAAGAGAAAAAGAGAGAACAGAAATAGAAGGACAGAAAAAAAAAGCAGAGGAAGGAGAGGGAGAATAAGAAGAACCACCACCGACCACCTTCAGCTCAGTAGTTCTACTATTATGCCTCCTCGCCATCACCACCACCACCAGCAGCAGCAGCAGCAGCTTGTTAAACAGAAAAAGAAAAAGAAAAAGAATAAAGGTTCTTGCCTCTACACAGTGAAGAAGAGGAAGCTAGCAGCGCGCCACTGTGCCCCCAGTCACCAGTAGCACTGCTACCAGTAGCATTGCCTTGACGCCATCTCAAGTAACTTCCTACTGCCCCGTTTGTTTTCCTATTGCTGTCCCTGCTTGCATTTGCATGCAGAATATGAATAGTTCACGTTCTGCAACAAATGGTGAGGGGGCTGGTTGCTGTGCTTATGCACAGTAACCAGCCCCTTTGGTTTTTGGGCAGGGTCTGGCCCATATCAATAATCTGGGCCATGTTCGGCCCTTTTCAAAAAAATAAAAGAAAAAAAAATATTTTTAATATTTGTGATTTCCCACCTTTTGATTTATGTCTTTTGTTTCGATTAATATCGATCTGTATTTTATATTGTAAAAAATACAAATCCGGTATTAAAATACCTGATTTTATCAAAACTTTCAAAAATACAAAAAAATTTTGAAAAAAAAAATACTTTTGTGCATATGGCGAAGTGTCTCGAAGTTAAAAAAAGTCATATCGTGTTTTTCATACATCAAAAAATAATGTTTTAACATGCATTTTGACTTTAATAACCAGTTTATTAAAGTCAAGAAAATATTAGCAAAAATAATTTTTTTTTATTTTGTTTTAGTATCAGGAATTACGAATTTATATGTAAAACATATTTCTGATATTAAAAAGGTATTTTTTTCATTGATGACATAGAATCGTTAGATTTTTACCCGATAAAATAAGAATCTCTTTACAAAGAAGGACTTTTCTTAAATTGTAAACAAATCAATAAATTTTAGACACCACAACCAAACCTTAGATTTTATTAGACAAAACAATGTAGCTTACCACAGATAGAGTATAGTTGGGGTGCTAATACCTTCATATTAAGTAACCAGTCTCCGTAATCCATCTCTAAGATCATTTAGGGTTTGTAGTGACCAAAATACTAGGTGGCGACTTCCATTTTAATTTTTTATTGATAAAAGACAAGAATTCTTTATCTTTTCATATTTTGCCAGAGATAGATTGCACACATTTTTTCTGGAAGGTGGATAATCGCTACGATACTATACACGTGCGATAAACTTCATATCTAATATATAAAAACATCTTGGTGTGGATAATAGATCTCGTATTAAGTCAATTAAACAGATCATGTCATAATGCTTAGGAGCACACATTTTCTACTAACTTAATCGAATTAAGTTATAAGTTGCAATCTATATACATATACATAAAGAACAAGGGACAACCAGCAATTTGATAATTTTGTTTTTGTTTTTGTTTTTTAATATGAAGTCGCACTTTGACTTGAAAACTAAAGAATGATATGGCTGAAAAATATGGTGATCTGTAATGATGGTATAAAATACAACATATAGCCACGACAGTACTTGGAAAACAATATAAAGAGTTTTTTATAGTGGTTCTGTATATTGAAGACAGTCCTTATCATAGTTATCATATCTAAGTTTGGGGTTTGATCTGATTGATTTGAAAGTTTATCAAGTTAATTGTAAAATAATATTATTTTTTTAAATAAAAAAGTATCATTTTAAATAAAGTTTAAAAAATTTCTTGAAGTTGTTGCAGTGAATTCTCACTCGGGTTTAATAAGATAATCCGTGTCTGCTAGATTTAACAAAATCAATCAGATCTATAGAGTATAATTAGGTCAACCATTTGAAATTAAACTTAGCCTTGGATAGGCTCTACATCAATAAGTCACTACTAACCTACTAACCAAGTTCAACACGTATGGTTGTTGTCGCGTAGGTGATCATTATATTTAATGGAAACCGTAGGTTATTCTATATTGGAAGTCTCGTGGTTCAATGATCTAGTCACATTTAACCCTATAGTTTCAAAAACGACAAATGGATCGTTGATAATTTGAGTTGCGGACAAAGTTACACCCTGTAGTTCTGTTAGAAATTTCTATTGAAGTCAAGATTATCAACTTAAAATGGACATGTGATGCATGCTAATTAGCTAAGATTTTTGGCCAACTTTAACCATTTGACTAAATTTGATTGACAAGTACATTGGATAGGGGAACTAACTCAGACATAAATTTGTGCAATTAGACACCAATTAATGCATGCCGACAGCTAAAAGTGATCTTTGAATTTGAAAGATGGTAGCGCTGCATTCTATTTGTTTAGCTTCACAAATATATATATATATATATATATATATATATATATATTACTGACATATTTAATGAACAAAACCTTATGGTTGAGGGATACAGTACATACCTCATCGTAAGTGAAAAGCAAACTTCGACTTCAAATCTCTATCTCCTCATGCATGACCTCCACTATCTTGAACTTCTAGAGTATATGTTTTGATACAACGTGTTGCTACTTGAGATTTACTTTATATATATGTTGTTTAATCCTCTCGATTTTCATCCCAAAAAAGAAAAAAAAGAAGAGATATATTAATTGTTGAAATACATTAGTGGGAAACAACCATGCATTAACGAGTTGACATAATACAAACAATATAAGAAATGTATGGCACTCAACTCGAACTCGGATCA